AACTCTATTAATTCTCTTCACTCATCTTCTTGTCTACCTCTGTGTGCTATTTGGAACGTGGCAACTCGAACTGCTGCACTTCGGTGCCAAGTTCTATGTTGAATCCAGACAGACAGACAGGTAGATGACTCTGAAGGCCTTGTTTACATCGTTTTAATTGAACATCATCGCTCACTATGAAATGCAGGTAAATCCTGATGACGAGTCCCAAACAGGACGAAATGTGCATCGTGGATTTCACTGCTAGTCACCATCCACAAATTAAATTCTTGTTTACATCAGTTTTGTTTTCTGTATCTACGAGATAAAACAGTATAGAACAACGAATGGACTTGGTTTGTCCCCTTCTTGACCAACCGCCTTGTAGGATGGTGTTCGGAAATCCGACGATGAGCACACCTAATTGTACGGTCCATGTAAATGACTTCACAGGAGCAGTCAAATCGGTAGATACACATAGAAAAGACGGAATTAGGTAGTTTATCTTTATCTGCCGAACGCAAAATATTGATGGTTTTGAAGAGACAGCATACTTCAGCGGCATTGGATTCTCTTTCTACCGTATTCCTTAGGCATTGTGTTAATAGCTTCCTAATGTTATCACTGAGGAACTGAAGTTCTAAGAACAAGGACCTCTCGAAACTGTTGGTACTTTGGCCTGATTTGACTTTTGATTCACGTTCTTATCGACGAATTTTCCTGGGTAAAACCGTTCTCACTCAGTGACTGATATATCTTCTTTATTCATCAATGTACCACATATGGAAACAGTAGACTTTGTATACGAAACATCGATGTTAGTATTCCGATATCTTTTATAAAAGAGCTTCTCTTGAAATGCGTAATGAATGTTCACTTCTTATTTTCTGAGGAATTGTACAAACAGATTGATGGTGTGGACATTGGGTCACCACTAGGACCAATTCTAGCCGGCATTTTCCTTGCAAAACTAGAGAATTGGCATTTGAAAGATGTAATTGATGAACTAGAATTCTACTGTCACGATATGGATCATACATTTTTAATTATGAAAAATGAGGTTAAAGCGAATAACATCCTTAACAAATTTAACAATGTGTAAGCGGCAGTAAATTTTACCATCGAGAAAGAAAAAAAACACTCCAGTATTTCATTCCTAGATGTCCCTATGAGTAGAAAAGAGGACGGTACCATAAGAAGAAGTGTAGATAAAAAAGCTACAACAACTGGTCAGTATACTCATCTTTTCAGCTTCGTACTTTTGGAATACAGACTCAGTCTAATAAAGTGCTTGATCTACAGAGCAACGTGTGTATACTGTATAAAATTCCAAAGCTTCGACTATAATTGCTCATATTATCATAGATACAAAACTAAATCAATCATTCATTAAAAGTCAATCTGAACGAAGAATATTCTTTTCAATAATTTCTCCCCTTTAGGTTCTTACAATTATAAAATATAGCATTTGTTGTTGTCATTGCAATAATGGCCAGCTATGCGGCGGATACATTTTATTAAACGTAGAATAACAGATTAATAGTAGTAGGGTGACAAAATAAATAGTAATTGTGTGACAAATGTGCTAGGCTGAATTGAATTACAATATATTGGGAAATGGGAGACAATGGTGGTGGTGATTAATCATAAGAGATTCGTAGAGTGTGGGGTAGGAAAAATTGACAAGTCAGTTGGAGGTTATAAAAGGTGTTAGGTGAGTGAGTGACTAGTACAAAGTGGTATGTACAACAGAGGCGATAGTAGTGAGACTGAAATGAGAAGTTCATCATGAAATAACCACTATGTGAATGAAATGAAATAGGTGGAGGTCTATATTGACAAAAGAGACAATTTGTAGAGCCCTGAAGAATAATTTATTGAAAGCTATTGTTCGCTGTAAATATTTTGTTCTGAAAAGAGATAATATCACTAAAAATAATTCCGCATTCATTATAATAAAGGTTTTTTGTATTTCCCAATGTAAGGAAAACAAAAGATTTTGTTTTCATTAATGTTTCACTATTTAATGCTAATAGCTTTTTCAAAGTATTATTCAGCTAGAATTTACAAAATCTCAGCTTATATATAATTCTGGATAGTACAAATGGGAAATACAATTTTATTATGAATATGTTTGCGTGAAGGGTATAAATTTTAACGAATAATAATAATAATTGTGATAAAAAGCAAAACAAAAGAAAAAATCATGAGGGATAAGGAGAGGAGGCACTCTTAGTGAGAAGAAGAAACTTTAACCCAAGTTTGTCGACAGTAGGGACAACGTCTGGAGGTGTTCCTTTTTAGATGTAAAGTTCCCGTTTAGTCTATCTTATTGGAGAACAGCTTCAACTATGTGTAGGAGCCGTAAGCGAACTGTACGTGATAACGGTATATAGCCCTGAAGACTGTGTTGGCATCGATGCGATGTCCACTATCGACCAAGCGTGAGAGAATTGAGCTTTTTATGCACTTGATTTCTCCTTTGTTGAATCAAGTTGGTAAACGTTCTCGAACTCGTACAGCCCATATATCTTGAACCACAGGAACAGTTGAATTTATCATAGCTAACGAAAATTCTGACTTGTGTCGGTTGAGTAATGCCTTCTTGTTTTACTAAATAAAAGTAGTTTCTGAATTCTATCCTAAATTAAAATGTGATTTTCCAACTAAAAGTTAATTTTTAAAATAATAGTCAGACACATTAAAATACAACTGTTGATTACAGTTACTTTTAATATAATGAGCATCATGACCATTGGGTCTGTGTTTTGCAACTAAACGAGTTCATGTTTATTCTTTACATAGTCTATATTCATAAAATAGCCTGTTATTGTTATAGTTGAACAATAATTTTACTGGATAAAAAAATGCTAATATTCATACCATATATATAACTGGGCTTGTCAATTAATTGTGTAGATATAAAACCTAAGTGTGGCGTTTGTATGCGTATGTGTGTATTTACTTATGTGATATATATATGTGTTATTTCTGTCGTTTACTATGTGAATTAGTAGAAATATTAAAGCGTCATGTAGCTAAGTTATTCATTCATCAAAAGACCTAGGATTATGAGTATACTTATTAATACTTGGATACATTTATTCTAATGTATTACAACGAATAAATTTAGCAATACATATTATACCGTTTACTTTCAGCTGAATGTCATATGCTTTACACTGTTCGTATGTGTGTGTGTTTGTGTGTGTACTTGATTAGGTTTCGGCTGTAATTGAAGTCACATGCTAGTAACAACAACATTTTTTGGTCATGAGAAAAAGAACAACTAAAGATAGGTGTCATACCCAATAGTGTTTGAATCGTTTACTCTCAAAGTATAATGCATCTGAGATTGGACAATAGAACTTAAGTAACGTCCGTGCGTCTTAGTCTTTCGTTTTATGTCGACTGAATTCTGTCAGTCAAGTGTGCAGTGCGGTCACGATGGTAGTTGACTTGCCATCATTGATACACTTTAAATTGCTGTTAGGTGGTTGGGGGCAGTAATCAGGATGCCTCAAACCTAGGTTTCGCGTTTATTAGCACTCATCAGAAAGCGTTTCTGCAGTCCTCTTTCAATTCATCAGTTGTTGGGTAATAGGTTTTGTAGTAAAATGAAATATTTTTTTTTAATTTTCGGTTACGATAATATTCATACTTTTATGCAATGATTATTTTACGTTCCGTAGACTTTTGTATAGAACCTTTTTTTTACATTCCTTTGCGTTTGGAGTGCAGTGTAGTTTCAAGCTTTAAAGTTGCAGTATCAGTGGTGTTTTGGTTGTCAAAGGGGGCTAGGGCTACTAGCCTCCCTTCTCACCTTCTTGCCTGGGCTTACTGCTGGGTGGTAGAAAAAGGGGAGGGGGAGCTTAAGGATCGTGTGTATCGGGAATCGAAATCGGACCGAGTGATTAGATGGCAAGAATTTTGCCACTGAACCACGACCAACAGTATCTGATCCACAACACCAGAGCATCAACTCATAGTATTTCTTCATGGGAATACTTTCATTATTCGGTTATTGTTTCATTTTTAAACATTTGAGTATTTAAATACTCTAACCAGTTAAATTCGATAAGGGTATTATATTTAAATTGTGCGTTTTTAGCTCATCGGTAGAATGCTCGTCAACTACTCAGGTGGTCCACAGTTCGATCCCCGGCCGACTTACTCCTTTAACTCGCTAAACCGGTCATAAAAATGGTGAAGAGGAAAGGTTGGATATAAAGCTAGTAACCTCACTCCATAAAGATAAACATCGTTGCTACTAAAACTTCAAAGCAGAAGCTTGAAACTCTATGTTACACTGCGAACGTAAAGGAACATAATAATATATTTAAAGTGGTGATCTACCAGTTCCCTTTTTCTCTAGATTCTTAACAGCGTATTTTATGCAAGCTATTAAGAGTATCTATCAGAAGACAACATGTTGCTGTCTACCAAGTAATATGAAATTCAAATCAAATTGGTTTCCCAGAGAATCAACTCTTAACACCTACCAGTACCCCAATTATATATATGGTCTGGGGTTCGATTCCCAGTTGGTGAGCACCTTTACCTCCACTAGCTGGTTGTAAGCCCGATAAAAAGATGAGGGTGGGCCTGACGCTAGCAACCTTATCTTGTTGAAAACACCCCTGCTACTGAAACTTCAAAACTGAAGTTCGAAACTCTGTTCCATTCGGAATTGAAAGGAATGAAAGCCACCTCCAAGTATCAGTTCGCTTCATTTTCACATCATATAGTGTCATGTCTAAATTGACTGAACGATTTCGATTAGTTTTAAATGGATGCTGGCTAGATTTGCTACCATATCCAATCGGTTACTTAAAGTGTGTTCTATTTTACACTTTACTTCTTACCTTTTTCTTCGTCTGAAGATTTCCTCTTGATCCTTAAGTATCTTTGAGAGATGAAAGAATAGTTATTTACAGGATTTCAAATATTGCCTTTTTTCACAAGAGATTTTCATTGTATTTCCTCTTTAACTGAAAGTATTTTATTTTTTCTCTTTTCAGATATTATGACTAAACGTCAACGGATATCAACAAATCCAAGTTTCGAAAAACAAAATGGAATTTCAGGAGCATGTCACTACACTGATTGTCAGTCCAATCTTGTATGTCGATTGTGTGATAAATGCTATGTTATGTGCTTTGAAGGATTATTTTGCCACCATATTTGTTTTTGTTACGTTGCTGTCTTTCTATATATTTTCTGACTATTTCTAATATCGTACCGTATATATGAAGTGGCCGTGTGTTTATCATTCGTATAGGTAATACTGCATTTATGATGTTGCTCTGTGGGTTTTCGACTTGCATTCGCTTGCGTTCCAAGTGAAATATGGAGCTTCAGCAGCACATCTCCATTTTGTTCTGTTCTTCACAGTCCTCTGTAACTGGTTGAACGATTTCTTATCACCTCTCCTTTGCACCTCACACGATCTCCTCCATGTCATCTCTCCGATGCCTAACTCCTCGGTTCACATTTGGGTCCCATTTGAGTTCCTGTCTGGTCTATGATTTCACTAAACGGTCTTCTCAGCATTTGTGCAATTCATCTCCATATCCTTAGGCATATTTCATACATTTATTCCCCTTAATGAATTTGAAGAAAGCATGTTTGTTGGGCGATGGGTACTTGGTTGGTCTGTTGCCTGCCAAAGTTCCTTGTTGCGTGTCCTTTTTAGCCCTATAATTTTCAGTGTGGGGCATAGGCATCGGTTGATAAAAGTCCACAGTCGCTTGTTGGAAATGCTTATCGTGGTACACCGATACTCTGAACCATACAGAAGCACAGACTTAAAATTGGTATTGTTCCTTATGCTGACTGCATCAGATTTCCAGAGTGATTCTAAATTATTGAATATCCGTGTTGTTTTTCCGATCCTGGTTTTAACATCCTCGTCAATGAAATCCATAACAGTTGGTCTAAGCCACGTAGAGAGGTGTAGACTTCCAGGCTGGGGTCCTCGGGACGGTAAAAATCTATGGTTGGAAACAATTGGTGACATGGCTCAAAACCGTTCTCAGTGGCGCAGATGCATCCACTCCCTGTGACTTATGATCTTCAATGAAACTGTTTTGTATTTCTTTATTACTCCTTTGTCTCACACCTCTGCTCACTGTTTCTATTATGCTTTTCTTGTACTTTCTTCTCTTGCTTCGCGTGCTACACGGAATGTGGCGACTTGAACTTCCGCACATTTGTGCAAAACAGACAGACAGACAGTAGCTGAGACGATGCTGCTCAAATAAGTGAAAGAAGTGACCTATTCGAAATTTCTTACGTGGATAGTGATTGGTGCTTGTTGTTGTTGTTGTTGCTGTTGGTTGGTTATCTTCATCACCTCTGTCTTCTCTATGTTCACATGAAGTTATGTCTTCTCTGGTTCTTCTGCCAACGTGTCTGTTTTCGCCTGTGGATCTTCGAGTGTGGAGAAGGAATGTTGAACTTTTATCATCTTCGAAGTCCGGAACATCTTCACCAGTATTCGCATTAAATTATTCTGTCTCTTTCACATACATGCTTATTCATTATGGCTTCTTTCAATTTTCCGATTTTTATTTCTAAGGTGTTCGCAGTGTGTGCCAAGTTGATTTGATTCATTAACTTGATCTGTTTGTCTGCTTGTTGACTTCACATTTTCTTTATTCCATTGCCTTCTGAGTGGAATATAGTACTTCAAGCTTCAGCTTTGAAATTTCAGTAGCAGTGGTTTTTGTTTTTTACGGGGGGGGGGGGGTTGCTAGCCTCACGTATAATCTTTCGTCTTTTTGGGTCTTACTACTGTCTATGCGTGGCTTAGGATTGAATCAGCCGGGAGTCGAACCCCGGACCAATATGGGTGTTTGGCGAGTATTCTACTATAGTGAACCATCGAAGCATTGTATTCACATTATTTTCTCTAGTAATATTATTGAACAGGATAGATATCATACTGTAGGGTTTTCGTCACGTATTCGATTTCTTTATAATATGCTACAAACAGGCAATTTTCAAAGCTTTTTCATCCCAGTAACTACAAATGGTACGCATAATACTATGGATACTTAGATATGATTGTTTCTGATTTTTTTTTTACCCAAAATCATGAACATTTGAAAGGTTGCTTTATATTTGATCTGTGTTAATGAATTTATTTTTATGTAGACCGGGTAACTGAATGTAAATCCAATGATGTCTGAAATGGGGGACACACACTTACACTTCAACGTATATTTTCTTTGTGAGATTATAGTTGTGTAAAAGTATATTCTCTTATGACTCAAATCACCTACGTTTACTGTATATGTGTATTACAGTTCATGTTATCACGAAAGTCACTTATAATTGAACCATATAATTACATTTTCAAAAGTTGATTTTTAGGGACTTGATTTGTTTCTTGAGTTTGACCATGGATTAATATCAGTTAGAGAACCATTGAAAACCAACAGGGAGTGCTGGACAGCTGTTTCATCATAGTTTGGGAATTATCGGCATTACGCACGCACCCACTGTGGTTCGAGCCCAAGACCTTCCGGCTACAAGATATGCTCATAAATCATTCAGCTACTGAGAACCGACTCAATGACCTATGAATTCTAATATTTACTAATTTGTGGCTTTAGCGCGACCACCAGCCAAATTCTTGAAAATTAATATGATGCTCTCTAGTGATTGGCGGCGACAGGACGGAGTTTTCTAGAGTTTTAATGAAAAGTTGTCAGCAGTAGATTCCATCCTATCAGGAGTGAGGACAAATGCTCACCGATGAAATTGGCTTGTGCTCGCGCTAAAATTGCGGATTGGTGGTAGAGGTTAGAACCCATCGGCCATTGAGTCGGGCCTCAGTGACTGAATAGTCTACGAGATTGCCATATAACTGAATGCCTTTTTATACTAGAGGCATAAGATTTTGGGATTCAGGCAAATATAATTCGAAAAATTCAATCAATTATTTTTTTACGAAATATTTGACTGAATATTGATCAGTTGACACTTTTCGATTTCTCAGCCTTATTAATCGATCCATGGATAGTTACAATGGAATGAAGTGATATTTGAGGTAGATAAGTTTTGGTTACGGATTGATATCTGTTAGAGAAGCACTAAACCAACGGACAGCTGTTACGTCATAGTTTGGTACTCTGTGGCATTACGCACTCACCGGTGTTCGAATTCAAGCATACTGCCCATGTGTCCCGAACTAGGATGAAACAGCTATCCAGTACACCTTGGTTTTCAATGGTTCTCTTACTGATATCAATCCGTAGTTAAACCTGAAACAAATGAAATCTCTACAAGCTAACTCATAAAAACTTAAGGTATATTGAAAATTAATTAGCATTTAAACAAAGATATCTTTAAACTGATGCTCTTAGGATAAAATAACTGTCTAATCTATGTGTTTTCTCACGTGTCTTTAGCTGATGTGAAACCACTTTGATAAATAGTAATTTTGTTGGTTACTGCTCTTGGTGTTTAATCTGAAACTCTATCCTTCATGGTACACCTGAGGGTCCATGATAGTGTGTCTTAATGATGCGAACGTTGCGTCTTTAATCTGATTAGTTTATAGCATGTCATATATTTAGGCAGAGGAGGCACTCAGGTGGTATTCCATCCAGACTCTCGAGTGGAACCCGCATAGAAAACGATGAATTGCTAGCCCGGTAGGGACATGGAGGAGATCATGTGCAAAACAAAATGGAAGCTTGTGGGTAGCCAAGTGAGAGTCGACGACAGAGGACCATGTACAGTGATGATTTTTGTGCAAGAAACGAATAACAATGATAATATTATAATAAGGATCGTTGAAGATTCAGTAAAGTCCCACTTGTTTCCTATTTTTTGCAATTCTGATCTAAATAATTATCACTGCTTCAACCGAGTACAGGTTTTCTGGATGCAAAATCTTACTCTACATTTCATTTCTCTTCATAATCTTTATGATCGCTCTGATCGGTCATTAGGTAGTAACTAGTCTCATGCATTCAGTTCTCGGTTTGGTGCTGAATGAATTCTATCAGTGAAGTTCGCAATGTGGTTACCTTGCTAGGTGGCTCCCCATCGCGGTGCATTTTGCATTGATGTTAGACGGTTGGAGGCAATCGCCAGGAAGCCCAGACTGACCTACGTTTCGTATTTGTTGACATATGTCAAAAAGACTTATCGGCAGTCCTGAAGGAACTCATATCCCCTCTGAGATTCAAACCGGTATCACCCAGTGCTGTAGTTTCTGATATTGCCACATAGTAAATGTCACTGATAGAATTCAGTCTGCATCAAACCGAGGACTAGACGCATACTATTATTTACTACCCAGTGATCAATCAGAATGTTCATTCCTGTCCTGCATGAAGTCAATCCCGAATCTGAATAGCTTCGTCGCCACAACTCTGACTGCAGCACTAAGTTACGTTTGTTCAAATCTCAGAGGGGACACGAGTTCCTTCGGGATTGAAGATATGCCTTTCTGAAGAATGCCAACATGCACGAAACCGACTCTAGAGGGCTTTCTACCCACCGCGTTCAACCATCTTTATGATTCCATCGAAAAGCCATATGTTATTATTACTATACAGCCTTTGTTCCCATTACTACCGACTTTCTCCGAAAGTGAATATTTCATCAAGCATATTTATCGACCCATAATGTCTCTGTTTATGGATGCATTACAAATTATGCTAATTTGTTTATGATGTAATCTACCGTTATGTGTTTCATTTGACTCCAAAGTGTTCAGTTATATGTATATATATTTCTTCCTCTTTGTTAATTAGTCATTCATTTGTTTTTGGATAAGTCAGACACACTATCTTATTTGTTTCTACATCTAATGTTACGTAACACATTTTCGCAATCGTGCAGTTTTTTAGTTCTGAAACTAATTAGCATATATCACACAAAAGCATCGGAATAGTGGTGTAGCGTAACATTTAAATGCTTATCTAGTTTTGTTTACGAATATATAGAAATCATCAAATTTTGGTTTGCAGTGATTTGGTTATTTACCGGCTTGAACAAGAGCTTATATGGGTTAGAGAACCATTGGAAAACTAGGGAGTACTAGACAGCAGCACGTACCCACTAGGGTTTAGACTCCCAGGACCTTCCGGTCATAAGACGGACTCGTTGACCAATTAACCACTGCGATGTGATCAAAAAGCCCATGTACTCCAATTTCTATCAAATCGCGATTAATTTAGCACACCCGCCAACCAGTGTCATAGGCTGGTGAGTGGGAAGTACCAAACCGGGACGAAACAGCTGTTCAGAACATTGCGTTTTTCCAATAGTTCCATAACATAGAAGTCACTAACAAAACGTTGAAGTACTGGGAACATTGACTAACTGTTTGGTCATAGTTCCGTTTCGTAAGGATCATCATCTCTTACTGAGAGCAATTTACCGTTCAGTCAGTAGGTCTAATTATTCATAGGTTTAAATCCTCATCAATTCACGTCATATCATGTTCTGAATGCTGTGTATTGCAATAGGAGAATAACTACCCTTACATTCACTTTGGTTGACCTCACTATTGTTGTTGGTGTTGGCTGTATCTAACCAGAACCTCGAGAATTACATTTTGAAATGTGTCATAAATCATGAAGATGTGCTGGTTAGTTAAAACGTTTGTAAAGAGTCAACTGGTTTCAACATTTCATTCGAAGGTAAATCAAAGCTTTCACTCAATTACAAAGAATTGGTTATAACAGCTGTTATTCAGATGATGATGAGACCTACAGTGATAGTTCTGTTAAAATCTTTATGTCCGGATGGATGAGTCAGAGTTTGATGTTTTTATCAGCTTATGATCACTTGTGCATTGGTGAGATGTCCAAGTGTTTAGCATCAATCTGTTTTCATTACTGTCTGTCAGTCTGTCTGTTTTCAACATAGAACTTTGCACCGATGTGCAGCAGTTCAAGTCGCCACACTCCCTCCTTATAGCACACAAAGCAAGAGAAGAAAGTAGAAGAAATGCATAATAGAGAGAGTAAACAGAGGTGTGAGATAAAGGAATAGTACTAACAAAGAAGAATATAATTTCATTTGAAATCATAAGTCACAAGGAGTGGATGCATATGCACCAGCCATTAAGAACGATTTTGAGCCATGTCACCAATTGTTCCCAACCATTGGTTTTTACCGTCCCGAGGACCCCAACCAGTCAGGAAGTCTACACCTTCCTACGTGGCTTAAACTAACTGTTTTGAATTTCATTGACTGATGAGGCCATGTTTTTGTTTGACCTCCACTAGCTTTTTTCCAGCCTGACCCTATGTCAGCTAACATTGCCCGTTGAGGAAGGCGATGTTTTCACTACTAAACTGTGTCGCACCTAGGAATATATCATTGGTTTTCAAGATGGTGAATTTAGAGACGCTTCTTATCTTTCATCATCGTTACTCTTTGAATCACTTAATGATGAAGTAACTCCATATATGGCATAGTAAATAACCTCTAGAATATTATTAAGTTGTTGGGTTCTTTGTAATGCTTACAACCATGATGACATCTTAATTTAGGTTGTGCTATGATTGATGTCAGCTCATGATTAAATCCTCCATGCAATCAAACAAAATCCCTACAAAACCAATACTTGAAAACTATGATTGAATTAACAAGAGCAAAATGAAAGGCGGGATTATTTCAAGGTATAGTATCAGACTATATGAATATATTCTCTGCCTATCGATGTAATTCATACACAGCTTAGAGACAACCAGAACAAATGCTTGCAGACCTTATCATGTAGTACTATGCTAGTTTGTAGCGTTTGGTAAGCCTAGTCTTACGTTGCAACGAATGGCCTACGACCTTGCAATATATATATATATATATATATATATATATTTCTTCCCTTCGTTTAACTGTTAACTGATCCAATGTGGCAACACAGGTTAGTGTGCAGTTATTCTAATGTCCAGCTAACTGGGCACTTTGTTCAACAATCATGGAGATATTAGAGTAGAATTCGACTGCTGTAGAAGGATATAATTTCATATTAGTTAAGTTTATTTGATAAAACACACAGTGATACAGTATTACTAACAGGATGATGTTTCGAGCACAATTTATTGCTCATTAGCATATCAGTGTAGTCTGACAACTTCCTGACTTGCTACATATGGCTTAGCAGGATCAGTCATTCTAGCCCTAGTTAAATTTCTATAATCCAACTGTCAACCTAGTAATGTTTGGCCTATGTAATTGACCTTACAGTCATTAAATGGCATTTGATATTTATTATTATTATTATATCCTTTAATTCCTAGAGGAACATAAGGCTTCAGCTGCGCATCTCCGTTGCCTTCGGTTTTCTGCCAACTTTTTCACCCCACTCCAAGTCTCCCCACATTCTTTTATCTTCTCTTCACATGACCTCCTCCAAGTCACCCTTGCATTGACGACCAACTCTCCGATTCCCTTTCGGGTTCCACTCGAGCAATGGCTTGTCTAATGATGTCACTTGATGGTTTCCTCAGAGTATGGCCAGCCAATCCACCTCCATTTCTTCCTGCCTATTTGTTTCACAATCGGTTCCTGTTGGGTTGGTTCGCTCATTGCCAGAGATCCCTGTCGCTGATCTTTTCTGGCATTTGATAAGTGATATTATTTTTCGAAACTGAATTTATCATGTTCTTAAGCCAATATAGCTTGTGTCTAATTGAGTTGGCTGCTTTAAATGCTACCCTATTTCCAACCTTACTAAGAACCCTAATTAGGGTCTTTTATGTTCTTTCTTTTTATGGCAGTACCAAATGACAAGAAATTCAAAGAATCTAGATAGTTATATGTATCTATCCATTTATCCAGTCAATTTGTATATTTTCATTCTCGGTGTAAGAAAATGTTTCATAGAATTTTCTATAGTTTGGTTTGTAAGGGTTGGGGTCGTGCTAAATCACAAATTGGTGAAAGTTAGAATTCATGAACTATCCATTGAATCAAGTTCCAGTGGCTGAATGGCATACGAGCTAGCTGGCCTTCTAACTGGAAGGTCCTAGGTTCGAACTCTGTCAGTGAGTGCGTACTACCAATGATTCCCAAACTAGGATGAAACAGCTGTCTGGTACTCTCTGTTTGTTTTCAATGGTTCTCTTACTGATATCAATCCCTGATCAACTCATAAAATTTTCTGTCAATCCTTTTTTTTTAGATTTTAATTTTTTGTAAACGCACTTTTTAGAGTTCATTGTATTTTCCTCATTTGTATTGTTTTTTTTTACAATTTTCTCTCTTTTAAGTATACACTACTTCCAGATTTAATGGAATCAGTTACGATGGCGTCAGGAGGATATGGACAGAATCAGTCATCTGTAATTATGTCCTCGCCCGCTTTATTAAGAAATTGTAAAACAGTGTCGAATACAACCAATAAACAAGTTTCTACTGGGGCAAACAATTCATCTCAGCCATCAGACGATAACATAATTAAGAAAGGTAGGTAATACTTTATGATGTGATAAAAATTTACTTTTTTTTAAAAGAAAGCGTACTCTCTGTTTTGTGTGTGGTTTATCCTTTTCTGACTAAAATGTCTAAACTGACACTGTCATAATGAAGTATCTTCGTTGTAGAGATATGTGAATTATGATCATGGCCATCATATTCTAAGAGAGAATAGAAGATAACATTAGAAATGTAAAGCTTACAAATCATCACACTATATACTACTGATAGATTTAGATAAGTAGTTAGTTGCATACCACTTACGTGTGTCAACCAACTAGCTAAATCAAAGTGATCTAAACACTGGATGGTCGTTTTGCTCGTTCGAGGTCGAGGTCATCATCGGTGTACAGGGTTTGACTCTCAGCTCAGAGAGGCAAATCTGTTCAGACCACCTTACTTCTTTCAACAGTTACATTTTCGTCACGAACCAACATCAGTTAGAATCGTCATTGAAAACCAGGGAGCGCTGGGCAGCTGTTTCATCCCTTTGTGGGACTCTTCATCCAATGCACACCCGCGATCCAGCTAGGAATCTGACTTAAGAACTTCAGGTTAGGCGACCGAGGTCGTTGACCATTCAGTCACTGGAATTCAATGACCCCGGGATTCTGATTTTGTCAACTCGTGATACAGCGCTGCTCTCACCAATGTCTTCAACGAGCATCGACTTCAACCCCAAAATCCTGTAATCTGAATAACAATTGCCAGCTCACTGAATATAGCTACTGGATGAATTTCCTGAAACCTCAATGGGAAGTCATGACCAGTGAAGTCCACCATATAAAAATTAAGTGAACGATTATTGGAGGCACTGGCGAGGGCAGCGTTGTTTCATGAGTTGACAGAATAAAAATTCTCGGTTAACTGAATATCAGCCGAAATGGCTGGTTAGTCAACGAGTTTGGTGTCGTAAGCTAAGGGTCCCGGGGTCAGTGATCCCTGGCGGAGTCTTGGGGGCACACTGTTGAGGAGTCCTAAGATAGGACGAGACAGTTGTCTATTGCTCATTGGTTTTCAGTTATCTCTGTAATTGATGTTAATTCGTGAAAAAAGCGAAATTAATCCAAAATCTCCACAAATCCAGTAAAATTTTGAAATTATCTTTGAACTGTTTTTGCCGTAAACCACAAGTCAATGATATGTTCTTTTAACGAAATACAGTAAATAGTTGTAGTTGTTTTACTGTCCATATCAACATCCATGATATAGAAATTTACACAATCTCCATAAAACTGAATAGCCTAACAACTTGTAACTTTGCACAAAAGGTGTTCACTTCAAGATACTACATTCGAAATGAAGGAACGTAATGAGTAGCGAAACTATAAATGATCGAAAAGTATGGTATATGGAATAATTAGAGGACAGTTAGTGAAATATTTTAGAAGGTGGAAGATGGCCGATAGCGTATAGATGCCATATAACCTTACACTCTACGCTTGACTCTATTATACTATATCATGTTCTGCTATCTAACACTAGCAAGAGAACAAAGATATCAGAATCTCATCTCTTCATGTCTTCCATCTTTAGAGACGCCAAGGTAGAACGGAAAGATCTTTGGCTCAGTACACAGTCTCTCTGTTCAATAGGTAGATATCTGGCATGCTCCAAAGATGATGCAAGCTCGTAAAAGCGAAAAGAGCCTTTTGTATGGGCGCTGTGGTTGCATCAGTAGTGAATCTTTGTTTGAGACGAGTGATACGGTAAATTCATTGGCTTTGGAAACGATGAGTTGTGATAGACCAACTCAGCAACATCATCTTGCTTTTGACAGGACGAATCATATACCTCATGGTATTGAAAAGACTACATCATATGGCTACTGTAGATCAACGAGACTCTTGCTGGTAACAATTCAATCCCCGAAGTATCGAAGTCGATTCTTATCCATTGGTATACTCGTAATGAAATTGATCAAGACTGATGATATTGTTCATTCATGATTGACACCATCGGTAAATTAAAAATAATCGTATTATCAGTAAAGGAATGTTGCATGCTTCTCTGAGTCTATGGCTGTTTGCTACCTTCCTATAGCCCACATTGAAAGAGGAAAACCATTAGTTGTGGTTGGCCATAAAGTCGCAGAATAGGTTCTAAAGACTAGTCAGACATAACCCTTTCGGAACTCAAGTTTATTAAGTTTCATACTTACAGAAGATCGACAACCATAACTTTCAAACTCTTCTTCCCTATTAATTGGTTAGATCTCAGAGTGAAATGCATTACTGCTGTGGATTCTCAATCCACCGTAGGATTTCATCCTGAGAACTCCACTATAAAGGGCACAACCCATGCCGTATATTGCTATCAGCTTTTAGTCTTACTCCAATCTGGTTTACCATCTTGGTACTGTACTCCAAACAGGAACATTCTTTCCAATGATCGATGTACAGGTGAGAAGTAAAAACGTTTCTCATTTCATAAATAGTAGCAAAATAGCGCGGTTTAATTGAATTCCTAACTTTTCTATCTTTTTATTCTCTTTTTCAAAAATAATTAGAAGAAACTGTCGATGAAATGATGGAACGTTATCGTCGACAAACAATCAATTCTACAACATCAAATTCAATATCACATTCTACTTACAATGAATATTATAAGTGTATTCCAAGTACTTCGAAATCCCGTTTGCTTAAAAAAAATAATCATAAAATTGAAGATACTGAAAAAAGGAATAAAAATATTCCCTCTAAGGCTTTGCTATCATCTGCACCATCGTCTTCGTCCTCTTCCAATTCGTCGTCTTCATCATCATCATCATCGTCATCATGTGCGTCTTTCTCGTCTTCTACCGGTGTACATACGCATAGATCAATTCCTCAGTTATTCAATCTGGCTCTACATGGATTACAAGAAATCTTTTCTAATTCAGCTTTAAGTATTATTGCTTTGAATACTATTAGAAAAATTAAGTTTACATGGAATTTAATCCGTGAACAACCATTATCTCAAGAAGTCAATATGACGGGTATATTTCATGAAAATCAAATTTTAATTTCTTTACTTAATTCAATACTGGCTGGATTGTATGTCACTCAGGTTAGTTAATTGAATTTTGACTTGTTTATGTAACTAGTGTTATTTGTTTAATCATATAGGTATTTCTTTTGTCTTTCATTCCTCTGGGTTCTGAGTAGAATATAGGCCTTCAAGTCTTAATCTTTGAAGTAGAGGGTGGTGGTGGTGGTGTTCTTTTACCTGGTGAGGTTGATAGTCTCGTGGTCAACCTCTGATCTCCTCTGGACTGACTAGGCGCATAGTTTAGGAATATGCTGGCCGGAAATTGAGCCTTAACCTCCCACGTGGTTGGCAAGTATTATACCACTGAACCACCGCTTTATAATAATAGTTTTATTATTTTTTTTAAAATGCGTTTATACATAATACAGAGTTTTCAGCGAGTTCCAATACAGGGTATTTACCCCACTGTGTAGAATCTTCAAATAGTATAGTCATCGATAATACATTGTCTGAAGCAATATTGTTACATCCGAAGTATGCTTCAATGCTACTCCACAGTGTTCTTTCTCGATTTCCTTGGAAAAATTCCTAGTAGTAGGTAGAAAGTTGTTTGAAATTGTGTGCCGATATAGATTGCGACTCATTGTGTAGTGAGAGTTGGCTGTCAGCCGAAATTGGTGGACAATAATTTACGTCAATGTTTTTGTCCCCTATATTGGTCGTGAGAAATTGAGAACAAAGGCTTTGCGTAGGCGGATACAGTTAACATATAGATGATTTGACATTCAAGAAAGAGTCACAAAGAGATGCAAGGTTAACTTTCTGTGAGAAACAATCAATCAGAGGACTGTGTTTTTCTGCTAACAATAATCTATAATAATGTACATGAAAGTCTATAAATATGTGTTGATTTCCTTAATAAACGATCTGTTGCCTGGCCCTTGTCGTCTTCTGTTGTTACAATTGTGGTAATTAGAAGATCACAACATTCTGAAATGGATAGAAAATTTAGGTAACCCAGTGATCTAAACAGGCCACTGTATCAAAAGACTTAGTATTCACACGTTTAAAAGATGTGATAAACTGACAGGGACGTTTGTTTTAGAAATTTAAAGTTGTCATTTGTTGGTCTGAGTACTCGATAATATTCGTAGCATTAGTTCGCAAGCTTAAAACATACTTTACTTGAGGCGTTTTTAGTTAATCAATTTTAATCAATATTCTTTGCACAATTATTGTGGTTCATTTACTACCTAGTGTGTGAATATCTATGTAGTTGATTTAAGAAAATTTAAATTGTGTTCTGAAAGTGGAATCAACACAATGAGTAACATCTTTATAAATTCATATAAATGATATATCTGGTAGAGAGATGAAAAGTGTCTAAAAATCAGTGGATATGTTTGAAGAAGAGGAAATGGATACTTGTAAGAAACATTTACTGCAACATTTCCAACAAACTAACTCAAACTTTCATCAAAAGTTATCTTCCCTCCATATTGAAGATCAGATAACCGGCCGGAAAAGGTTAAGCAGTCAAGAACTTGTTGGCTAATAAATATGCCGAATGATTGGGCATACGCTGAGGAGATTATCGAATGGCATCACTCGCTAGTCCAGCCCTCTAGTGGTACTCTGGATGAGGAACGACGAGTTGAACAGCCAACAGTGCCATTTAGGAGAGGTGGTGTTATGAGGAAGTGAAAGCCCGTAGGCAATCATAGAGATAGCTAAAATGACTTCAGGGAATAATAGGGGGAAATGGAGATGTGTTGCTGAAGTTCTATGTTTTAGCAGGAATCCAAGGGAATTGTAATGTATGACTTACGAAAAATTAGATACAGGAAATTGTTGAAGAAATTATCTAACAGAAAGGAATTAAATGAGTTGAATTGAAGAACGTAGTACTTTGTTTTCAGTATGAAACGTAACTCTCATTGTATCATTTTATTCCCTTGGATTTAGGGTGGAACATTAGGGCTTCAACAAAACGCATCTGCACTTCTATTTTCTGCTATCTTCTTCATCTGGGACCACAATTACCCATAATCTCTCATGTCACCGTCGCACTGACGACCCACTCGTCACTTCCCATTGGGATTCCACTTGAGCAATAACCTGTATTCCGCGCGATGTCATTCGACGGTCTCCTTAACGTATGCCTGATCCATCTCCACTTTCTCATTATAGCCACATACATTTCAGTACGAAATAATATCGAATAGTGGAACTCAATGGAAATTCGATCAAAACACATGTTTTCTTCTCACTATGAAGTGATTCCACTCCGAGTAGGAAAATTTATTGATCGATGGATGCCCAAGATCAATTCATAAAAATAATATAAAAAGTGCTTAAATAAGAGTCAAAAGAAATCAATTCATGATAGAAGTTCACTGAACATTGGTAATGTGACGAATCAATACAGTCACAGCACAAATATAATCTTTACAAGTTGGTTTGTAAGGATTAGATTTGGTTTTACAAGTTGATCACGGATTGATATCAGTTATATAACCATTGAAAACCAACAGGTAGTACACTAAATAGCTGTTTCATCCTACTTTGGGGATCACTGGCAGTGCGCACCCGCTACAATGGGGTTCGAACGCAGGACCTTCCGGTTACAAGGCCAGCTAGCTCGTATATCATTCAGCCACTGGGACCTGATTCAATATCCAGTGCATTAATTCTAACTTCTACCGATTCGTCATTTAGCGTGATCCCAATTAATATCATCAGCGGGAAATCCATCCTCACAGTTGACCTGTTGGACCTCACTGGTCATGACTTTTCACTAGAACTCCAGGAAATAATTGTATGAAGGTTATTCATTAGGACTCTATGTAGGGAAAACATTTTCAATAGATATTACAAATTAATATAATTTGGTCGATGAGTGACTCACACCCTGGAATTTAGGATGGTGAGTGTCACTGAAGACCTATAACAGCTAATATGTATCTGATGAAAGCCAAATAGGGAAAAAGTGTGCTGTCAGTTTCACTATTAATCATTATCCCACATGTGAAACACACAGGTCTATTTTCTATTAATGTAAGGCGTCTTAGCAGTGGATATTCACTGAAACAATTCATGAAAACATTTGTAATGTGTTTTACTGTTGTTAATTATAATAATATTTCAAACTAATAAATCACATTTTTCGATTGGTCTTTCTCTATTTTAATCTTCAGCAAAATTCAACAATAGTTGACGTCCTCATAGAAACAAGAAATATTATCCTGGAATTAAGTAATCGATTAGACATTCATAAGAATTCTGATCATAACTCATTACATTCGAATGTTGTGAAAAGTAATCCAGTCTCGGCGGAAATAGTAGTTAATGGTTATTCATCAGAGAATGAATTCAACAATCGTGAAGATCAAAATGATTGGCAATTCACAACAGCTAATGATCAAACAACATCTTGTTCTCTTATTCAATGCTTAATATCTAGTCTTCGTCAATATCTTAGACAACGTCAAGTATATAGAGCTCATTTGATTAAAAGTCGTGAGCGATTGAATCAACTTAAATCGAATTTAGAGCTCTCAGTAAATTGGTACGTGTATTTTTAATGTTATCTATATATATGTAGTTTTTGAAAATATCGAATTTAATCTTTCTTTCTCTCTTTCCCATAAGGCAACAAAAATTTAGTAGAAAACGTTTCTTTCCGTAATTCTCTCATCTGGCACAAACATTTATATGTGTACGCAATATTTAGAGTACTTGTTACTGACAGCATTGATATTTGTTAAAAATAGTATCTAGTTTTCACAATTGAAAGAATTACGCTTCAGAAACACGCCTGAGGGATACCTACATATACATGCAAAGTATTATGCTAAATTGAATACCAGGTAAAATTAAGCAAGAAATTTATGCGACAATTACAGATAGTTAAAACAAAAATAATAATATCTTGTAAAATGCCTAGAGGGAAGGAGAAATTGTCAAATTTTTACAATCAAGTAATGATTGTCCTGAAGTAAGTAAGTAAGTAAGGAAAGTGATTGTACGAACTTCTTTTTGACGAAATACAATTGACTGTAGTGCAGCCAGATGAGGAAGTTATCGAAAAGCAGAGTCTTTGCTCAACCTTTTTGTCTTCTATAAATGTCTTAATCGAGGTTTTTGCTGTATTTCTTTCATATATCTTTCTTCTTTGTTTTTTGTGAATGCAAGGTGTTTGAATGAAAACTTGTAACGCTACGACTTGTATCTTTCTTTCAATGTCGTGAATTGACAGAAGTTAGAATTCAAGGACCATTGGATTGGGTCCCAGTGGCTTAATGGTATACGAGCTCGCCTTGTAACCGGAAGGTCCTGGGTTCGAATCCCGGTGGGTGCGTACTGATGAAGAGTCCCAAACTAGGACAAAACAGCTGTCCAGTACTCCAAGGTTTACCAATGGTTCTCTAACTAATGTCAGCTCATGATAAAATCCTGTAACTTTTGTTCTGTTTGGATTAACACTCTTAGCGTGTTATTCTTCAGATTTTGTTTTTTCAGATAGCTATTCGACTCTACAATGATACATATTAGAGATTATTTATTCTCCAGCTAGTTAATAGACTTAAGTTTGGCGTTTTATAATTTGTTACAGAAGATTTAATGTATATTCAAAAATATTTTTATCTTATATATGTGTCCTCCTTCATGGAAGTCAATATTTCTTCCCTAGAAATCAATGGAGAATAGCCATAGTGTATTTGAAGAATGAACTTTGATGACCTTTAAATATTTAACTAAATTAACGTAATTTGCCTCTAATACCTAAATATCGGATCTGAGGGGCACATATTTCAGTCTAACCCTGTATCGTAAATCAAATTTCGATATATATATATATATATATATATATATATATATATATATATATATATATATGAATTGACTGTGTCACTGGTGAATACTATTCAGGTCTGTAAGTATGGTATATGCTTTGAGCCGTCTAAGTGCAAAGTACTGTTACAAGATTGGCAGGAGCCTGTACCTGCACTCACTCTTGCAGGTGAATTGCATGAAGTTTTCGATAAGTTTGTGTATCTCGTTAGTTGTGTGAGTGCTTGTGGAGGGGTGACGGATGAGATTCCTGACCGTATCATGAAAGGTAGGATGCCATACGTTAACTTCAAGGTACCTCTGGCGCCGTCGCGACTTTAGTTTGGCTGTCAAAGTTTGGGTATACAATGCTTTGGTGTGTATTGTCTCGCTCTACACCTTGGAAACCTGGCTTCACCGAGCTGAGGATGTGTGTCGGCTCTGCGTGTCCGATCATCGCTGTCTACGCAGGATTGCTTGCGTTCGATGGTATCATCGCGTGATTAATTCTGCGGTTCGGTGGCGTGTGTTTGGACATAGTGGAGATTATCATTCACTGGAAACATCGGCTTGGGTTGCTTGGACATGTGCTGCGAATGTCATCCCAAGGACTTCCCTACAGGTCTCTGTTCTCTAGCCGTTGGACAGGGTGGAAAAGGCTGTGAGGCGGATAGCTCATGACATGGCGTTGCGGAATGAAGGATATTTGCGCTAGGTTACCATCGGTTGGTGCGTGACGACTCGCTGGTTGGAATCCGAGAGATTGGTCGAATTGGTGGCTCGAAACGTTATCGGTTATGGTCAACAATCGTAATCAATGGTGAACGTGCTGCAATTTCCTTCTTTCTTCCCTTCACGACGTTAGTTGGTAAATGCTGTTTGAACTTGTTAAGTCTAACTGTTTTCCTTTCAGATTAAGTTCTTTATCCGTTCTCTACTTATATTTTGACTTTTAATCTATATTGTTGTGTGGCGCATCTTCTTGGTGCCATATTGCATCAAGTTTTTTGTGTTTAAATAAAATTTAAAAAAAAAATAAAAGTTCAGGTTAGATGTAGATTGCCAGGTAAAAGGAAGGCAGTTCAAACGATGAGGTTGTGAAGTTACATTCACTGAAATAACCAGGGCATTTACAACTCATTCTTATCCACTGCCTTCTTCGTCAAGAAATGCTAGTTGACAATAGATTGGAAGGGAGTAAGAAGTGTTGAGATTAAAATATGTCATCAATCCATCAGGTTTCTGCCAGCGACGTAGGGAGATGTAGACTGCCTGGTTGGAGATTTCAAGATAGTAAGAACTAATGGCTTGCGACTTTTGGTGAAAGGCGTTTCAGTGGCAAATATCCAATAAATCCGCTTTCTGTTTTTTTGTTACTATTCTTTCTTCTGTACATTTCTGCTCATTATAAATATTTTGAATTTGTTTGCTTTTCCTTTACTTCTGTGCAAATTTCTATGTTGAAACTCAGTTAGGCAGTCATTTGGGTGTATCACGTCTAGTTATAAAAATGTTGTATGGTTATTGATCGATCGATTGAATCACATAACTTTTACCAGTGGCTACAAGTAGTCCAAGGGTAGTTACGTCAGCCTTAGTTATACTCTTAAAATATTTATTGAATCACTTTCAAACTGTTATTTACAGACTCGATAAGTAAGACATTATTGGGAAAGTTCTCTCATTATATAATCCAATTTAATAGCTACGTGGGGAGGAGAGAAAGAAGAAGGGCACACCTTCGATTTCTGAACACATACCAAATCGCCTACATCTCAAGGGTATAAATGCTTACAATAGGGCTATTAATGGCCATCCTATCAGTATGGTTCATGAGGTGGACATCACGAATATATCAGTTGTCTTCACGTTTGCCGAAGTGATCGCTAACAGACTCCTAAAACCCGATCCAGTCTTTCCACTGCCCTGGTAACTGGATGTCTTTACTGTCTCTTTCATCTAATCACTTAATCTTTGACTTTAGCCTCTCCCACGTCTGACATAGTGTAACTTTACCAGTCTGTTGTTTCTGTGGTTCGACTTGTACTCATCAAACTGTTACTGGATTTTGCTATTTTCTTCCTGAATGGGGACTCAGAGTCTCGATCTAATTGGAAACGTAGCTGCTTCGCTGCCAACATTTTTCAATGTCCGTTTAGTTGTAAACACAAATATGCGCTCACCAGGGCATAATCGGAGTCTACTCACGTGTTCACGAAGGAACTGCGGTCCTCTACTGACCCTCACCAACAATACCCTATCGCTATGTGGTCTCTTTGAGTCCAGAGTTGATTTGGTGATTGAGGTCGCCAGGTTACACAGTGTCTGTCTTTGTATCTAAAGTTAGTGCTGATTGGGAAGAGATGATTATCTGAACAGAACCGTCGCCACACTCCACGCACCGCACAAAGCAAGAGAAGAGAGTAGAGAAAGATTCCAAGCACAGATTATGAACAAATATGAGGCAAAAAGAATAGTAATATGAAAGAAGAATATAGTTTTTATTGCATAATGTAAATAACAACGAGGGGAATCAGCTGCGCCAGCCACCAACTGTCTCCAACTATTGGTTTTTACCGTGATATGGCTGGCGCAGATGCATCCAATCCTTGTAATTTATATTATGCAATAAAACTATATTCTCCTTCCATATTACTATTCTTTTTGCCTAATATCTCTGTTTATAACTCTGTTTGGAATCTTTCTCTACTCTCTTCTCTTGCTTTATGTGATAAAAGGAAGGAGATGTGGCAACTCGAACTGGTACACATCTGTGCAAAGTTCTACATTGAAACTAGTCAGTCAGTCAGTCACTCAGCCACTGGATTTTGCTATTGTATCCAAGCGTTTATTTTTAAAAGATTTATGCTTGAAATTCTTGAGTATAATCTATATGAGTGTAATTTTTTTAGCTCTATTTATTAAGTTTGGAGCCTTCTGTCAACTGGCATTATTTAACATTTACAAGTATGGTAAAATTGTTCTGTACACAAACTCAATAATCTATTTAGGCTGCTCACAGCTGATGAGAAGACAAAGAAATAAACGACGGTACCATATTACTCTGCCATGCGTCGGTGGCACGGTGGTTAGGACTTTCGCCAACCATGCACATGGTCCGAGGTTCGAACCCCCGCCAACGCACACCTGATATCTATGGTGGGCCTGCAAAATTTGGGCTACCGATATCCATTCTGAAAATTCCATACTTGTACCAAAAATACAGTGTGGAATCAAGCTGTAAATCAAAAATATAAAAAAAAACTTTTTCTTGCTTTATTCAAATTCATAACGGTGAAATAAGTGTATAAACTAGTCGTATTTAGTTTATTCGTGTGTTTTCAATGATTTTTGTCTTGTTTTTTTCAATTTTACAATAACAACAACAACAAACAAAAACCAAAATCAAGGTTGCAACAGAGTATACATCTTCAACAAGAATATATTCTATGCCGGAATTTATCTGAACTCATCAGTCAACACAAAGATTTATTCACAGAATTTCATCAAGAATTTACAAGTGAAACATCCTATTGTGATCCAAAAGCCCGTGTTGAAATGGTACGTAAACTTGTTATACAATTATTGGATAAAATGAAAATGAAATGGCGTGAATCATCTTTCAATAGTAATACTAATAATACTAATGGTATTATTTCATCGGGAACATCATTAATAAATCAATATGATGGATTTATGCTATCAAATAATATTTGGTGCAATAATCCAAGGAATCATGATAATAATAATAATAATAATAGTCATAGTGTTGAGAATATATTTATACACTTGGAAAGACTTGTCATGGATGAGATATACTCTTATGTAATATGGATGAATGACTCTACTGTCGAAGAAGAACGTGATGAGTAAGCTTACCCTTTTTTTCCAAATGTTTGTATTAATTTTGTTTTGAAGATAATAATGATAGCAGATGTAATGTTGTCGTGTTGGGTTCATCTTGTCCCCTGTAGTCCTCTCTAGCTGACCCCACGACTGCCCATATGCTCTCATCTCCTACTGGTACGATCTTCTCCATGTCAACCTTGGTCTAGCACACTACTCATCGTTCTCCATTCGGCTTCCACTGATGATCTTGACGCGTAATGTCACTCAGTGGTCTTCTCAGCGTATATCCAATCTATTCGCCTCCTCATATATGTTGGTTAACAGACTTTTGGGTTAATTTACATTTCCTGTTAATTGATTATGATGGACGGAAATACTCACTCTGTGTTGACATGTAATCGTGAGTGTAAAAGAAGAAAAGAGACATTTTATTGAAAAAGAATACACCATATTTATACATTTTTAGCCACATTTCTGGTCCACTAGGTCGACGGATAATGAACTGTTCTGATTGGTTGCTGAGTTTCCGAAGGATAAACCTTGAGATTACTTCTTGACCACAACGTAACCTGAATCCAGATTTGCGAAAGAAACACTTCTACTTCTGTATCCCCTGACTTAAGAAATGTTTTTCAATTTTGGCTAATTTCTATCACGAAATAAAACAAGGTAGTATTATCCTGCAAATATGTTTGCTTTTTCCTTATTCAAACTAATAACGGGAACCGGCTGATGTACTTCCTATCTATCTTTGTCCATATACTGCTGATAAATCTTGTCAGTAGCACTCGTCACACTAATGTGGACAGATTAACATAAACAAAGCATTCCGGTCTAATATATTCATTCAACCGGAAATACAAATTAACCTAAATACGATACCCGTTGTACAACAGCTGAATCTTGTGGATGATTTCAGGGTTCACATCCCAGTAGAACTTACTTACTTTACTTTACTTCGGCTATCTCCTACGGGAGGATTAGCCGGCTTCATGAACATCTCGAATCATCGCTTCCCAGGCGCGGCGATCTGATGCAAGGTTTCGCGACAGGGTTATCCAATTCTTGTTCCACAGACGGAATCCGTGGACGGTTTGTAGCCCCAGGAACTCCATATCAGCCTTGACTGTACCAAGCCATGTTTTCAGCTGTCCACCCCTGCGAAATCGCCAAGATGGAAATGGCGAGGGATTTAGAACTGATTTGACCAGATTGTCATCTGGTCGGCGCAGAACATGGCCAAACCATCGAAGGCGACGTTGTTGGACCAGTACTGGAATTTGGTTGATGTTGTAGAGTCTTCATTCATGAAGTTTCATGGGAATTAAGTACGAGTGATGTCCCCAGAATCGCTCGGCCTTTTGTTTAAGAGTGCAGCTCTAGCCTTTACACAACCAAGTGTGACCTACAAGGTAGTAGGAGTGGAGTAGGGAGTCTATTATCCATTGGGAGCCGGTGACCGGAGTCCGGTTCATACGCCTTTTAGAATGGGGCCAGACATCCAGGGCATCCAATAAGCCCTTTGTCCATACGTCAGCCGGTTAGCTCTGGTGAGCTTCATATGCCAGTCGTTGGAGGTTTGGAATCAGGGTTTAGCCATCTCCCCTAGACTGTCATCCAATGGACAGTCAACCCGGTGAAGAGCGCCGAGCATCCGCATTTGCCCTCTCACTTCGGTGAAAAACACCTCCGCCACGTGAAGGCAGTGAGTAGGACTTCCTCAGGAGAGGCTATGTAAGACGCCCGGTCATATGGGAGCATTTCAAGAGGTGTCCGGGGGGGTGACCAACACGCAGCGCAAGGCACCCACCCCCGACAATCCTGAGGCTTTTGAGGTAGAAACACCATCATCACTCATTGATGAATCCGGATGATGTGTCCTAAATAAGATGAAGTGCGCATCTAGGACTACACGGCTAGTCACTATCAGCCAAAATAAGCTACTAAATATGCATTATCTTTAGTCATAAGAGGTAACCTGAATAAATTTGGTATACGCTGATTCAATAATCACTTCAGCTGTTAATCTATTGAAATTATGAGTTTGAAATTGTTCAATGTCATTCTGTCTTCGGTATGCGCTTATGAAATTCCTTCCCATTTTGTCCGTTTTAAAGTAGACAGATTAGTTAGTTTATTCATTTTGACCTGTAAGTCCAACATAAAATATCTTCCAATAGTTCTATCCTCTCATCTTGTCGATTTCTAAGGTAATGTTCCGTCTCACCTTTTACATTAAAAGTTAAGACAATCACCAATCACTCAACCTATGCTTTTACAGTTTGTCAGCTGCATTCTACCTATTGCTCCTCCTTAGTCTTTCCTGTGTTACTCAAAAAGGGCTATGTCATATTGCGAAGAGTATTAAAGGTTGTCAGTTGGGTAGGCGGTATGCCACTAAGTTAGCCCGTGACTGTTGTAGTCGACAGACATCTGGACTCATGAGAGAAACGGGCTAAATCCATAGCGTTTGACAGTCAACACCCTCTTTATTCACAATTCTCCCTTACTGCCTCTCATCAGGTAGAACTACAATGATGATATGCTCTCACACTTAAGTACAATGCCTCAACAATACCCTGTTTGGCTTGCGTTCTATGCGATAGAGAAAGTGTTAAGCGTGAAACTTATAATTTACTATGTAATTAACAAAATAAGTAATGACTCTTTTATCTTCTCTTATTTGTAATTCATGGTGACACTGATTCAGTTATCTCATTGTTTTAGTTATTAATATAATTATTATCATTTTTATACTTTTGGTACATTTTTTCAACATTATTGTTTACTTCTATTGCTAAAATGTCGCAGTTATCAGTTTTGATCACATATACCCTGAAATGGTTTCTTTTATTGCTGAGTAAATTGAGGACAGTGTTGTATGAAATGCTGATTGAAGTAATTCAGTCATTTGTGAATATCCCTATAATTTATCCAGAATATAACAGTAATTAGAGCGAACAATTGATTTTCAATAAATTCTACTTCAAGCTTTACAACTGTAAGTACAATCATTGTAGCATACAATAGCCAGTGTGAAGATAAATTAGAATTATATCAGAAAGCCTATTGTGGAACAAGTACTAGATGGAATAATAGTCAATTAGTTTTGGCTATCATTTAGAATATATATAGTCAATAAGAACATGAGATAAAGTAAAGGTTTCAAGAGCGAGTGTAATCACTGGCGCGTGAGACATTATGAATACTAAAGAGAAATAAACCAACAAATGGGATAGACTAGACGTAAGTTCACGGGTGACAAATAACAATAATAATTATGGTGACATAATAATGATGGTGTGGTGTAAACTTAAAAGTACTGCTAGTGAACGATTATCAAGCAGTAATGAATTAACTGATATCAATCTTTGGTCAGACTCGAAAAAACGAATCTAATCCTTACAAACCAACTATAGAAAACTAATCTGATGCTCGCTAGTGACTGCCTACAGGACTGAGTTTCCTGGATTTCTAGTGAAAAGTTGTGACCAGTGAGGTCCTTTCATTTCGAGAGTGAGGATGAAGTTCCCACCGATGAAATTGGTTGGGGTCACGCTAAATCACGAATTGGTAGAAGTTAGAATTCGTGGGCTGGCGATTGAATCGGGTCCCAGTGGCTGAATGGTACACGAGATTGCCTTGTAACCGGCATGTCCTGGGTTCGAACCCCTGTGGTTGGTGCGTACTTCTGATGATTCCCAAAGTAGGATGAAACAGCTGTCCAGTATTTCCTGGTTTTCAATGGTTCTCTAACTGATATCAATCCGTGGTCAAACTCGAAAAAACAAAACAAATCCCTACAAACTAACTCTTGAAAAATAAAGAATTGAATGAAGTTGAATGAACAGGATTGTGGAAGTATAACAGCACGTTCGAAAAGCATTTCATAAACCAAGGGTAATAGAATCCATAAGAAAAGTTATGAATTCATAAAAGGTTAGAAATGAACGTTTGTCAATGAAACAAAAGGAAAGTAGGCGGGATAGGAATTGGGAAGTACCAATATTTATGGAGGATTTGTCGTCAATTGCGGTATTTTGTCATCACGTTAATACAGCGTTGGTCGGAAAGATCGATAGTCAACTTGATCATGTTGCATAATTTAATCTACAGAATTCAGTTAGTATGATTTGGAAGATATGAGAAAATTGGTTACCGCATCGAAAACGAGTTGGTTCATTTTTAAAAATATATTTTCATATGCATTAGTTACTAGCCTGTATGATATGAATTTAATTTCCTATCTATGTAAAAATGATGTACTATTATTACCTTATGCATTTCTCTGTTTTTGTTTCTTTGCAGTCTGTTTCATCGGGAATTAGCCTTATTACAGAATACAATTACACTAACAGAACTTCGAATACCTGAACATTATCATGTTGTTCTACCGCTTCAATCTGTGCAAAATGAACTACGCCTACTTGACTGTTATCATGTATGTTATTTTCTAAATGTTTTCTTTGTTTTGCTCGTGTTTTCAATGTTTTTAAAGTCTTTCTTAAGAAGGCCTAAGACACATAAGAATTGATTGTAATCACATTAGTAAGGAGTGCTAAACTATGCTATGCGATGTTGGTTATACAATCCTGCACGACACATCAGCCGCACTGGGAGAAGGCTTATACTGGTCGACCTGTTTGAATGGAACAATAAATGATGCTTTACTATCGATAGCGAATCAGTATGAAATTGAGATCTGTGACTTCTTACTAGGTTTTTTCGATTACCAAACGGAGGGAAAATTATGCAACAATTATAAGAATTATTGCGTCATAATAAAGGTTTTGGATATTTAACTGAACGACAAACGACTTTCCATTGAGTTCCTCCTTTCATACTGCGCAGTACTCGGCTCTGTCCTCCTTTATGGTTGTGAGACATGTCCATTCAAGACAGGGGATCTGAATAGACTACCTATCTTTGTCATAAGTGTTTGCGCTGTACCTTCTGTGTTAAGTGGTCTCATATGGTGTGTAATATTGAGGTTAGGCGTAAAGTGTGTTACGTAAGAATAACAAGTTACTCGATGAGGTTGTGAAGTTACATCCATTGAGATGTGTAGGGCATGTGTTACGCATTCTGGTTCACCATCTTCCCTTTTAGGATTAGGTTAAAAATAGTTAGAAGTAGACAAATCAAAACCTGTCCTCAATTCACCAACTTTTTCACTTTTAATTTTAGCTGGCTATGCAGTTATCTGTAGACTGCCTGGTTGGCGTCCTCAGGATGATAAGAACCAATAACTGAAGAATATTGAAGATATTGCTCGAAATCTTTCTTAATGACTCAAATACATCCAGCCTTTGTAATCTCATAGATTGATTACACCTTCATGTTTTCCATGTTACAATTCATTCTCCCGCACATTTCTCCTCATTGTAGAGTTCTTCTGAACATTTTCTTTTTATCCGCTTTTGTATGCTATCTGGAGTGTGGTGAGATGAACAACTGTACTTCTATGCAAAGTCACACATTGTAACTCAGTCAGTCAAACTTTTAGGTAGTTGAAAAATGATATTCGAATGTAAATAGTTTTGAGATACCGAGAACGAAAGATTACGATTAATGCTCAGTGTTATGCTAACAGAGATAAGAGTGAAAGTAGTCATAGAAATAAGTAATTCTATCATTTTAGTGGGAGAAAAGTTTAGTATAAGCTGCGTAGAAAGGAATTTGAAAAAGAAACACCATTATTTTATACTTAGTCGAATAAACAATTGACAGTGATGACTAATATGTAGCATGTTAACTGTGCACATGGTTCGGGCTTCGATCCACGGCCGACCCACTCCTTTACCTCGCTAAGCCAGAAATAATTCTGGTAAAGAGGAAAGGTGTGGCGTAAGGCTGGCAGCCCCATTCTGTAAAATAAACACCGCTACAGAAACTTCAAGCCACTAGCTTGGAGCCCTATGTTCCACTGGGGAACGTAAAGGAAAAAAAAATTAACTGTTATGCATTAGGCTATGCGTCACAATTGATTTGATCTATACTGTCTGTCTGTTTTCGACATAGAACTTTGCACAAATGTGCTTAAGTTCAAGTCGCCACACTCCGTGTAGCACGCGAAGCAAGAGAGAAAGTACAAGAAATGCATAATAGAAACAGTGAGCAGAGGTGTGAGACAAAGGAGTAATAACGAAGAACAAAACAGTTTCATTGGAGAATTTTTTGATCTATACTCTTGCATAAATCGGAGTGAATGAAAAATATGGTGGTGGTTGAAAACCAATTGCATAAATTAATAGTTTACACATTCAGAGCCTGATGAATATTTACACATAATCGTAAAAACCATTTATTCACTACACTGAGCTTCAATTGTTCGTATTTAGGATATACAAATACTCAATGATTAACTGCAAGCAGTTTGTACCTTAAAATGAAGCAAACTGTGGATTGAAATAAAACATTCAACTGTAGTAGTTGCATTGTTGAACAGCAAACAGCCACTGAACAATGACCACTAATCGGTCAACACGTGTAAAGCTGCTACTGTCTAAGACAGTTGAAAAGCAGTGGTGAAATCAACGTTTCTAAGCAATATGTAGGGCTTGTAAAACGAATTTCTTTTGGTGTTCTCTTGTGGTATCTGAGCCAGATAGTTAGATTGCAAGGCTTTTATTGTCCTTTTGGATAATATCTTCAGTGCTAAATTTAATGTGATGAAGCTGTCTTTGAGAAAGTGTTTTTCTCTTGTGTTACCTCTAACTATGACTGGTTGTTCCTGTACAACTGTTTCACGAACCTTCTCCGTTATTTCATGACGATGTGTGTGAATCTTTTTTAAGTTGTGCAGAATGAATACGGGTCGTTTTCTAGTTATATATATATATATATATATATATATATATATTCGACAGATTTCTACTCTGGTTTTACATTTTTGAAAATTAATTTGAGGCACGTTAGTTACTGGCTGCAAGATGTGATTGCCTGGAGTTCTAGTGAGAAGTTGTGAATAATGGGGTCCGCCATGTTGAGAGTAAGAACAAATACTCCCCGATGACACTGGTTGGTGATCGCGCCAAAATTCACGAATGGGTAGCAGCTGGAATCCATACATAGGCCAGTGTCTGAATAGTCTTCGAGCTTGTCCCGTAACCGGAAGGTTCTGGGTTTGAACCCCGGCTGGTGCCCGGACAAACATCTCTCCAGTACTCCCTGGTTTTCTAAAGATTCTCTAGCTGGTATCGGTCAGTCATCAAACTTGGGACAGACTAACTCTTGAGAATAGAATTTTCGTCTCTTTTGCATTTTTAGTGAGTATTATTCTAGTTCCGGTCGCCTTAAAGAAGAACAATAAATGTTTTTATAGTTAGTTCAATTAGGGATTTATGACAAAATATTATAAACAGTTTTGAATAGTGAAATATAAATCCCCTATTTTGGATACGTTTTGTTTTCTTCTGAGTACTAACCCACTTCAGAGCCATCATTAATCCCCGTTGTAATCTTTCTGTCATATATCCCTTTATGTTGTTTGTTTGCATCATTATCAACAACTTTCTATGGCTTTTAAATTCATGATTATAAAAGAATTTCGCTTGCAGATGGATTGATTGTTGTGTCTATTAGATTTGCTTCTTTATTACTGTGATGCTGCAAGTTAACTGGTTATTTAATCGATTATTACTAGACTAGACCGATACCAATTAACCTGTATATCTCATTGGTTGATAGTGTTGCTGAGTAGTCACCGCTTACTTGGAAGAACCTTATTGGTGACATAAGCTCCTACTCAACTGCTATCAGAATACAAAACATCCTCACAATACGCCTACTATTTCAGCCCATTTTTCACTTGTAATAAATTTTCATTTCTTTACAAAAATGTGACCTGGTATAATAGCGCGGAGTGTTACTGATTTGTCTAGTTGTCGTCTGACTTGACTAGAATGCACCTCTAGACACTTGAAAATATTTACCCCATACTGTGATAGACACATAAGTAAGATTTAACTGCCACAACCGCGATAACTTTAATCATACAAAATATGTCGTGTACGCATACATCCACGGAAGTTTCAACCGTAAATAATCAATATTTCATTGATCTCATAACCTTAAAAATCCTCCAAAAATAAATAAATAAATCAAAAACTGTCCAATCAGGTTATGAAGTTAGTGTATGCATCAATCATGGCTTCACGGCTAAGAACGATAGGTTATCCGTCCCAACACCATGGTGATTCACATATTAAACATTTGACAGATAAAAGGACAATAAAAAAGATTAAATTTGAAAGCTAATTAGATAGTCTGTAAGTACTTGCGAATAGATGGGAGACTGTGTTTCTGTCCTGTTGGAATTTTAATTGAGGTATTAGTTAGACTAGACATGTACAAACATGTCTATATTAAATAGAAAATCAATTTAAGCGTGGTATATACTTATATGATTTAAGTATTAACGAAAAGGTGAGCGTTCTCATCTTTTAATATAGGAAAAGTTTAGAATAAAAGTGAGTGTATTTTAGGAATGACATCGTCAGGTTTCAATGTATCTATCTACTGATACATTTGACAAGTAGTTCTATGCCCAAAACCTTGATTTTTTGTAGAAATTAACACCTATACTGAGAGACTGATAACTCAACTTTGATTTATCCTTTGTCGAAAGTGTACTTTTGTGGCATTATATTTTGTTAAATTTCCTGATTTGTACTTTCGTTGAATTTTTGAATGGTGCTATTTTGGCATCGTTAGAAGATTCTTTTAAATCGTCATAATCTATGCTGTTAAACGTCACTAGTGTTTTTCAACTTCTTTTTGTCATTTTAGATTTTTGTAGCTATTTTAGCTGCTCTGTATTTATTATTATTGTTCCCTTGGGTTCCTAGTGGAACATAGGACTTCAACTGCACATCTCCACTTGCTTCTGTCTTTTGCTGTACTTTTCACCTGCATCCATGTTATTCCATACTCTTTCAACTCCTCTTCACACGATCTCCTCCATGTCACCCTTGGATGTCACACTCGCCGCTTCCCTTTCGGGTTTCACTCGACTAATGGCCTGACTCGCGATGTCACCAATCGGCCTCCTCAACGAGTGTCCAATACATCTCTACTTTCTCCTGCATATTTGTTGGGCGATTTTCTCTTGTTTTGTTTGTCTGTTCCCATAGTTTCTTGTTGGTGATTCTTTCCGACCCAGCAATCTGATCTTCAGTATAGAGCGAAGGCAGTTGTTGGTTGATAAAGGTCTGCAACAGGCTGTTGAAAATATTCTATGTGACCCGCCCGCCAAGTTCTGATCCGTATAGAAGAAGTGACTTGACGTTGTTTGTATTGACTATCCGAATTTTGTTGTTGATGCTGAGTTGAGTTACGAAGATTTTCAGGTTGGTGAATGTGTTTCTCGCCTTCCCGATTCTCGCTCGATTTGACGTCCTCGTCTGTTCCTACTGCCTGTAGTTGAAATAATGCTCCCTA